CTAAAATCTTCTTGGAGGCTCATGATATCATGACGGATATGTAGTTGTAATGAAAAAAAACATTGCTGGGGTCTCCATGTTATCCTGAGGATTGGGTCCTGATGTTCTGCAGGCTGAGGAAAGTATTGTAAGATGTCCAGATTTATTAAATGAATCCATGCAGCTCCGTGGGTCCTCATTACATCAAGTGAGATAAGAAGTTGTACTAACAAGATATGTTCCATTCTCCAAGTTGATCAGGAGTTCAGATTTTGACGTTTTACAGATTCAAAAAGGTATTGCACGATGTCTCGTCTAAATTTGTGAACCCACAAAGCTACGTGGAACACCATAATATCATGTGGGATGTGTAGTTGTAAAAACAAAACGTATTGGGGTTTCCAAGTTATCCTGAGAATTGGATTGTAATGTTCTGCAGAGTTAACAATGTCTTGTATGATGTCTGGATTTATTATATTAATCCATGCATCTCCGTGGGACGTCATCACATCAAGTGAGATAAGAAGTTGTATTAACGAAATATGTTCCATTCTCCAAATTGTCCTGGAGTTTAGATCTTGAGATCTTTTTTCCTTAATTTGTTTTCCGTTGATCTTGTTTTCCGTGCTGAGCACCAATGCTACCGACGCCAGGGAGGTAGCTCCTATACTTGGACCCTACCTATCGACCCATCAACTCATGATCCGGGGACCAACGGCTTTACTTCCCTTCCGAACTAAGGCGTGATCAGAGATGTTATGCCTCAGAAAATCCCGGCGGCACCGACTGGGATTGAACCCAGGCCTGCTGGGGTGAGAGGTAATCACGCTTACGACTACACCACCGGCGACGCTATTTCTACAGATTTAAAGAGATATTGTACGTTGATACGACCATATTTTCTGAACACACAGAGCTCTCGTTGAGTCTGAAAAATCTTGAAATCGAACCTCCAAGATTATTTGGATAGTATAAGTTATTTAATGAACACATCTGTATGTCTTACATTACCCGATGAGGTCCCACATAGCTCCATGGATTCTAATAATAAGTCAGAATATCGTACAAGACTATGTTTGAGCCCGTAGAACTTCATGATCTTAACTTCTGGATAATTTGGCGGACTTGCATTATTTAGTCATTTCAACTATATTTCCTACATCATATACGGGAACCACGATGCTATTCTTCTTTTTTTTTCTTGATTTGTTTTCCGTCGATCTTGTTTTCCGTGCTGAGCACCAATGTTACCGACGCTAGGGATGCAGCTCCCACACCTGGACTCTACCTATCGACCCATCAACTCATGAACCGGGGATCAACGGCTTTACTTCTTTTCCGAAAGAAGGCATGATCAGAGATGTTATGCCTCAGAACATCCCGGCGGTGCTTACTGGGATTGAACCCAGGCCTGCTGGGGTGAGAGGTAAACACGCTTACAATTACACCACTGGCGGCGCTGATGCTATTCTTCTTATTATTCTTATTCTTATTCTTCTTCTTAAAATTTCAAACTTTTTGCTTATCGCATTTTAGCTTATTGTGTGCTCTCAACTTAGTGTTCTAGATGCATTTCCACATTTATTAATTGAAAGCTTCCGATGCCTGTAGCATTTTTGCATTGTTATATATTGTGTGGCAGGTAAAATCATACTCTATGCCTAGGGAAGTCGAGACATTTTCGAACCCAGCCGCCTCCAGCATGGTCTTGCTTTGTAGCTGCGCTAAGGGAGGCCCCACAAGGCTCTACAAATGCCAAAATTTAGTCGGAACATCGTACAGTATCTCATTGAGTTTGTGAAACGTCAAGATCAGAACTTCAGGACAATTTTCAGAATGTAACAGATTTTGAAATCACAATTTCTTATCTCACTATTATGGATCGGTATAATAAATTTGAACATCATAGAATACTTTGTTGAGCAACAGTTCGCGTTTGGCTTCCAACGTTAGCAGTTCAGCTCGTGACGTGTTTTTTTTTCCTTTGGTTTGTTTTTTCCGTCGATCCTATGTTTTCCGTGCTGAGCACCAATGCTACCGACGTGCCAGGAAGGCAGCTCCCACACCTGGACCCTACTTATCGACCCATCAACTCATGAACCGGGACCAACGGCTGTACTTCCCATCCGAAGGAAGGCGTGATCAGAGATGTTATGCCTCAGAACATCCCGGCGGCGCCGACTGGGATTGAACCCAGGCCTACTGGGGTGAGAGGTAATCACGCTTACCACTACACCACCGGCGCCATTAGCTCGTGACGTGTTCTGTGTGTGCATTTTGTCTTTCCTTTGTTTGTGCGTGCTGGCGTTCCGCATATCGGACGAATGTTGTCATCGTCGTGTTTGTGCGTTGAGGTTGTGTTTCAGATCGAAGTGTGCCGTGGCCGCTATCAGACGCGTGGGTTTTCAGTCGCTGGAGTTTTTGGTTCTGATTTCGGCGTTGGTCGCGAGTTGATTCGGCCGGTGAGGAGCTGGCGTCGCGAGTGATTGGTGATGGAAAGTGGATGCAGTCCTTTTTTTCTCTGCTGAGATCCCTCTAGTTGGAGCAGCTAGAGTGTATTTCGTAGTTCATGGGGTTTGCGCTGCTGTGTGAGAACCGAAAGGCGAGAGTGCTGTTTTTAACACTGGTTGAAGAAGTAGCGGCCGCATATCTATTGGAGCTCTTCGAAATCATCGTGATCTTTCCTTTATTTTTCTCGTAATCCCATTTTATTGTTAGTCATGTTAGTTAGTTATATCACACTGTACACTTTACATTTACATCCTTACATTATTAGTAATTAGAGATGAAATATAGATATTTGCTTAATATAATCTAGAAATTTCAGTGTTCCATCCACTTGATATTGTAAGCTGAGGAAACATAGAGCTGCATCTTATTATATTTAAAATAATTATTATTTTCATTGTAGAATATAAACTTTTTTAACTATATAAATTTATATTCATTATTTCATTGTTCTTATATATTTCATTTCTCCATTACATGTATTTTCATTATATAAATAAATACAGGGTTGGGAGGGAGCATCAGGGTATCATTTGACCTGGAACTGGACGATGGAGTGGTATGACAACCGGAGTCTAGGAGGGAATAATCACTATCATTTTCTTTATCCTACCGATTCGATTGTGGTGGTGTGAATTCTACTCCAACAGTTTCAGTGAAATTGACGCACCCTTCTTAACAAACCATCCTGTAGGAAGCTTAATAAGTATTGCGAATTGCTTTATTCGATTTGTTGGATCGTATCGTTGGAAGGAGATTCTTAAATTCCCGTGGATTTCCGGTAATTGCCTCTGCTTACGGGTTTACTTTTACCCCTTTATTTATTTATTTATTTTATTTACCCCTCCGTTTTGGCCCTTCATACAGCAATATTGTGAATTCAGATCGGTAGCTCAAATTGATCTTGTTATTAAGTGGAGTTACATACAAGACAAGATCTTTGAAGGGATAGTGGCTACCTTATATACATACATACATAGAATACTTTGTTGAGCCTGTAGGACTTCAAGACCAAAACCTCAGGATGACTAGGCAACCCCAAAATAATTTGTCATTACAACTAACTATCCCGCATGATATTATGGGGCTCCATGAAGCTTTTTTGGTTTACAAAATTTAGTCAAGACATCGTAAAATACCTCGTTGAATCTGAAGAACTTCAAGATTAAAACTCCTGGACAATTTGGAGAATGGAACATATTTTGTTAGTACAACTTCTCATATCACTTGATGAGGTTCCACGTAGCTTCATGAATGCAAAAAATTAGTCAGGACAAGACTTTGGTTGAGCCTATAAGCATTTCAAGATATGAATTCCAGGATGATTTGGGTAATCTTAGATATCTTGTTAATACAAATATAAATCTCACATGGAGCCGTACATTAAGTTGGGATATCGTGGAAAACTTGCTTGAGCATGTGGAACTTCAAGGAATGTTTCAAGGATATTTGAAGATTATTCTGTTTTTAATTCCATATGGTGTGTTTGGGCACTACGACAATTTATGAAGACATGAAACGAAAATTGATTATTTTATTAGTGTGTATCACTTATACATTTTTGTCGGAACATCAGCCTTATATATTCCATTAGACAAACCACATAGCTCCTATAAGAATGCATAAACGGTATGTGTTACCAATTATACATTTCATTTGACACATGATCATCATTCACTTTTTTGCAAGGTGTCTGCTTATTAGTTGACTTATACATTTTATGAATAATCACCAATAGAAATTTTCCAACAGGTATCTATATATCTAAAAATGAATTTCTGTCTGTCTGTCTGACCCTTATAGACTCGGAAACTACTGAACCGATCGGCGTGCAATTTTGTATGCAGGGGTTTTTGGGGCAGAGAAAGGTTCTTATGATGGTTCGAGACCCCTCGCCCCTCTTTTAGGAGGGGGGGAGGGGCTCCCATACAAGTGAAACAGAAATTTCTGCATAACTTGAGAACTAATCAAGCAAGTGGAACCAAATTTGGCATGTGAAGGTCGAAAGGGGTAGCCCCTTAGATAAGAGGGGGGGGGCTACGTACAATAAAGCATGCTTTTTTCAATTGGCGCATAAAATCAAGCTAATATTGAATCCCGAGCAAGGCTGGGCACACTCAGCTAGTAATATTTGATATAGGTCCGAACTTCAAACTAATAATGAGGACGTCCTAGATCATCCCAAAATATATTTTTTTCGGATATAGGGGAAATGGCTCTAATGTTGGCCTATGGATATACGATTGGGCCCATCGCTAAAAATCTGCTATTTATCAATTTTATCTAGATGAACGCGTCATTGGGACGGTACTAATAGATAGTTTTGGTCGCTATTGGAAATTAAGTCGATTGTTGAATTTATATATGGGCCCATATTAGGGACATTGAGGCCAACATTAAATCCATTTTCCCTATCTCTGTTTTGTACTATCATTGTTGAATTCTTTGGGAAAACGTATCAGCGCTTATACAATCTGAAATCGGAAAATGCATGACCCTACAAACATACTCACTTGAGGAAATGATGGAAACTTTGAACACTGCAGGGTGACCACCGGAAGCCCCGTTCGGTGTGCCGCAGATCGGACATGATGTATCCGTCTTCCCAGCGGCACTTTTCCGCGCCCGGTCCTCCGAGGTAGCTTGGCGGGGGAGATCCATCGTGAACGGCTCCGAGTCTACAAAGGTGGAAAACGGAACCAGTTAACCAGTTTTCGGTGCAGTGAATGGTTGGAGATCAATCAGAGTTGGAACCAATCTTACAGATGACCAACTTCATGGGCCGCTACAATGATACCGCTGAAGCCGCCGGTGTCCTCGATGATGGCCACGCTGTTGACCTTCTCCAGTCGCTTGTTCACGACGCAGGCGCCTCCGACGTATGCGAAGCCTTTCCGGGGTTTTGTTTTTCGGTTTGCAAAAACGGAGAGACAGAGCAGGAGCAAATTGAACTTGATGTTAGTGATTCGGTTGCGAGAGTATGTACAACGAAGGGGGGGTTGTTGGGAAATGGGGTTCCGGGGTAAATAATTTGGGGATGTAAACAACAAATAAATAAACCAACAATTACCAACAACTTATTTGCTAAGGGTGGGAAAATGCATGCGAAAAAGCGAGTAAATTGATAACTAATGGTGTGTATCATTTTATCTGGGCAGTAGAAGTGTACCAATTTACTGTAGTTAATCGATGATGGTATGTGGGTAGTTAATGGAATAAACAACGCATTTCAAGTAACGCAGCGTTACTTACCAGCGCTTCTAGAGGCAATGAACAGTTCTAATCTAGTGATGGAAAATTGATTGGGTGTACGTTTTAGTGAGTGAATGCTTTGCTTTCTACTCAACTTAATTGGATTAGTATACAAACAACGTGCAGTTAGGTGGGGGTCAGTTTGTGGTTGAAACGTTAAAATTCTATCTCGAAGTGTAGAATTTGTCAGAGAGACAGAGTTGTCAGTGTTTGAAGATAGTCGGAAGTAAGGCTATTTGAAGGGGAAATTTTAGCGAAAGTTCTAATGGAAGACAAAGCTGGAAAATTATCGTTCATGAACAATGTACAGGCTGAAGATTGTTCAAGTACAGCAAAAGTCGCTTGTATAACAATGAAGAAACATTCAGTTAGTCTTAATAATTTGTGAGGAAAAGTCAATCGTTTTAGAAAGTAAATCAAAGAATTCAAGGTAGATATAGGATAGAATACGATTTTCTGTGTACAGTGGCCTGTAAGAGTGATATGATGCCAACATGGGCAGTTGTCAAAATATAAGCATCAGTGCAATAAATTGAATGTAGAAGAGGTTTCGAAGTTCCCGCAACAGGAAATCCTGGAATTATGAAACTATTAGATGTTATAATTTTTGTACTCGTAAGTTGCAAGAAGAGATTGTGAAGTATGTGTTTGACTCATGAAACCTGTCAATCTCATAAAATCGCTCTTTGTGATTCTCTGAAAGCGAGGTTGGTTGGTTTTGTGTGTCAAACACATACTTTACAACCTCGTCTAGTAACATTCAAGCTCAAAATATCTTTATAACATCCAATGATTTAATAGTACAGAAAAATATGTTTAATAGGGAAAGAATTGGAAGCAATCCTACAGGAAATAACTCTTGGGAGCTCTAATCTTTCTATGCTGTTTAATAAGGGCTTAAGTTGTTTCAAAATTGACTGATACATCGTGATATCTTTGAATTGTATACGTGTAAAAGTCTCTTCAATTTTTTAAATGCACGCAAAAATTTATCTTACATCCATTGTAAGGTTGGATATATTACATCCTCTGCATATTTTTCATGCAGCGAATGTAATGACAGTTCTCGTAATGGACTACTGCGTAAAAACATTCTTTCCAGTATGCATATTTTTGTATAAAACCTTCACGAGATGATTTTAAAGACGCAATGCATTTGGGGAAACAAACTTTCATCGAAAAATTATTCAAAACATCTTCGGGTGACCCCATTACATGATCTTTTCATATCAGGAAACATTACAAGTTATGCATATCTTTGATGCAAATCTGCAATAGAATCTTACGTTTCCCGGTTTGGTGTGGGATTTCTTTAATCAGAAAAATCTGTACAAACCACTTATTGACAGAATTTATTTAAAGAGCTAGGTTGAAAGAAGATGTACCGTATACCGCCATCTTGGTTTCCTTATATTATCAATAATCAATCAAGACCAACAATTGAAAAGGCCTCAACTCCATTTAGTAAACAAACCTCCTAAGGCAATTTTGTCGCGAATCGAAGTCCACCAACGCAAACCAACAAAATGAACAGGCATGGGAAATTATCCTCTACCCGACTGTGTTTTAGGTTTGCGAATTTAAGTTTCGGTATGCGAGAACATAGCCTTACAATGTTTCTTTACAAAATGGAGTTGAGGCTTTTTCAATTGTGGGTCTTGCAATTTCCTACGCTTGTCCCCTCCGTTTCAAAACTAACGGTATTGTTGGACATCTTTGATACACCCAACCGGGGGATGTATGATTTGTTTACAATAATGAGGGATTCATCATCACAGGATGTTAATGGAGACCGCATGAAGGGAAGATGAGATACACCGAGCTGCGGTCCAATGCAAAAAATGTGGAGTGTAGTAGTGCATGAAATTAAATTATGTCGACAAAAATTGCAACAAGATTGCCGACTCGACTTGAACTACGAACGTTGCGATTATCAGACCTGTGCTTTCTCCACTGTTCTCTCCATGCTTTGGAACATGGATAGGCTAAAAGTGAATAAGTAGCGCTTATAGTACGATATCTCGAAGGCGTATGCTTTTTTTGCTGAACGGGAGCTGGAGAAAATCGTGGCAAGTGTGTGCGTCGTTGTACAATGTTATAAATAAACTGCTTGATTGTAAAACCATTGTATTTTCTGCATGGTCAACTTGTATCATTCGCTGAGATGGATTATAGGAAATGAAACTAACATGCATTTTTGGATTGCGTGTAGATTTAGTTGGGGTAGTTGAGAGCCTCAGAGCAGCATTAACTGGAGACTAAAGCCCATCGCTATTTAAGAATCCAAGATGGTAATTTACGATTTAGGAAAAAAATGTCGTTAGTTTTTTCAGAAAGGAGAAAACGCGCAATAACCGGAAATCGATATCTGACGCTATTTTGAATCAATGTGTAGACTTCTGGTAACACAAAAACTGTCAGATACATGGAGAAGGGGGTTCTAAAGCCTCTCAAATACTGTCCACATCATTTTTGAACAGCCCCATATTATAAATCAGAAGTCGCCCTCTTGGATTGCAAAATTACGTCGGAACATGACTTCCGGATTCGTAACGCCTTCTCCATTCCCACACACTAAACCAGGCCTCCGCTGTTTGGTAATTTTTGAACGGAGCTATTAAAGCGGTTAAAGTTTAAACGGAACGGAACGGTTAAAGTTTAAAGTTCTGTAAAAAAAAAAAAAATAAAAATATTTCGAACTTGTACAGACTTTGTGAAATTAACCCCATTTAATGAAAATAAATTCAATTTGTCGATTTTATTGAATTCTTACGTGTAGCAGTCATTTGAAAATTTACCGATTTTATCAACTGTTCAAAAACTCTGTAGAATTTTACCGACTTCGGCCGTCTGAATTCTGTGTGTTCAATGATATTTCCCATTATTTTTCTTCAAGTGCAGTATTGTTTATATTTCAGGTCATAAGAATGCATCATGTTTCAAAATCTTTCTACATGAAAAGTATTATATTTGATCAAAAACGATGAGAAACGTAAATGATCAAATACACCTCGCTGATCAATTTGATCCAGTTTGGCAGTACCGTAAAACGGGGTATCTTTGATAATGCGGGTAGCTTTGATAGTATAATATAAAGATTAAATTTACTCGTGCTTTTTTCCAAATTAGAAACATTGGTTCCATATTGTAGCTTAGGGTATTTCCGTTGATATCGTATATAGTTTTATATAGTATGTACTACATATTTTACAAACATATTAAACAAACATATTTTAAGTTTTTCGCCTGTTTGAAAAAGCACTCAAACCATCACTTATGAAATGTATTTACGATAAAGCCATCACAAATTCAATGTTGTATTCTTATTACTTATGATGTTTTCTGATTATATACTCATTCAAAGTTGCATATTAAGAGAACTAAATTGTTTGAGTTTCACTCATTTTTTTCTACATTCATCGAGCACTATCAAAATAACTGAAATCAAAATACTGAAGTTCGGTCACAAAACTAAAAAAACCGTGCAAATGCTTTAATTTCCGTTAAACATATTATTAACGAATTAAGTCTTGGAACGTCAGTTCTTGTTTTAAAAATATAAAATTTGAAAAACATTCATTGCTGTAAAAAATATTTAGAATATACTTTAAAAAAAAAACTATCAATGTTACCCCGTTTTACGGTACCCATATTGTAATAAATCTGACACTTTTTCTTTAACTGGAATATCACTATGGGGCAGTTGAAAATCCTAATTTTATCTCAATAATTTAAGCAATTTTCTGTGGCCATTACAATGTTTGTTTATTAATTTATTTGATGAGGCTCAACCGAATTAACTTTACAGAGCCGACAATTCTTGTTCACTATACAATACATCTTAAAACCAGCCATGGTAAAAACACTGAACCCTTTTGCACGGGTGGCAGTTTTGCCTACAAACACACCACCAAGAGCATTGAGTTTTACGCTCCGTACCAGTGCTCGATAGAAAACACCAAATGCAGCGAACAAGGCACCGGTACCGGTGCCCGTGCATACTTTTTTGCACCGGTGTATGGATCTTCGGCAAGCACCAAAGCCGAGTGTTTCTGACTTCGGGAAACACCGCAGCCGAGTGTTTTCGATGTCGGAAAAACGCTTGCTGCTCGTAGGAATTTTCTTTGGGCGACTTCAGAAAGATTATCGTAGCTCCTATGCGCCTTTAGCATCTTCTGTCTCGACTAAAGCTGATAGACGAGTGGTCAGAGCAACATTTCCGTAATACCTTGAACAGGTTCGATTGCAGTCTGTACCTTCCAGTCTTTTTTTGTCAATATTATTTTCATAAGATAAATCTATGAAATTCATTTCGATTTCTTTTGGCTAAAAAGCATTACGCAATATTATAAAACTTATGAGCTCAAGGGTTCAACTACCAGGATTATTAAAAATACACAAATCACCCACTTCGTAAGAGCGTGTTGCTGTTGCCGTCCACCCACTGGTATTTCTTGGCTTTACATCAAATAATTTAGCTGATTGATTTATTTTGATTAGAGTCAATATAATAATCATAACTTATCTCCAACCAAACCAAACAGCTCAACTGATTCAATAATAGTAGAGATATATGGGGTGTTTACATATTATGTAATATATTACATGCTGGTTCACTATAAGATAATAAATAATATA